ACTATACACATGTTAAATTTTTGCCATGCAGCAGTGTATAAAATAAAGGATTCGTCCTCAGCTATATGAATTCTGCAACTGAAAAAATAGGCGGAGAAAATTGCTTTTAAGTTTTTCCATACGTATACAGTATTCATTCTATTTATAAATGCCTGTGGTCTCAGTATTACTTTTACACAGTGCAGTGGAACACTACTTCCATAGAAGTGAGATCTGCCCCTTTGGTTTTGACCAGTCTGTCTTGGTTTCTCCTAATCCCTTCACCATGCAACACTTCTGGTGTTGCAGCAAATACTCTGCAGTAGAAATCATCATCATAATAAAGCTACTGCTAGATTAAAAATTCCAACAACCTCAAGCATGCTAACTTTTGGAAAGATGGGGATCTTTCATTGTTTGACTTGTAGCTGAGATTTAACCCCACATTTTTGTTTTTTTATTTTCAGTTAAGCTTCATTTTATCTCCTTACACCGTTGTTGTTTGTTTTTCAGCTCACCTTCTCTCTCCCTTTTCTTCTGCTATGCCAGTTGCTTCAATATAAGCAACTGGCATAGCAGTTGCTTATATTCCTTACTTTTACTCCAGTATTCATTCTAGTTCTCAGTTATTAGATTGGCCCTGACATGCATGGACTTTTCTTGAATGAAAATTTTAACCCAGCCACTGGGAATCAGGAATAATACCACAGCATCATATTTGGATTAAAAATATATTGTGAGAAGCCTAGCATAACCACAAAGTGTGACAGCTGCATCTTCCAAGAATTGGACATAACAATATTTGTCACAGTTGTGAACATGCTGAAGAACATATTGGCATATCATTGCTATAGCATTTTGATACTCCACACATACACACTTATTGTTGGGTCAAATGGGAATGGAGGAAAATTTCAGTCATCTGTTAAGCACTGCTGAAATACTTTTCTAAATTGTCTTTTTCTGATGTGTTTGTCCGTTAACATCTCCCCAGTATTTTTTAATTCAACACATATCCATTGGGATTATATACTTAGTGTCACTTTATCGCTTTATTGTTTTTAGCCAACAAGCTTCACTGGTTTTTTTCTATCAGATATAAAACAGATACCAAGTTTCCAAGAAGCACCCTATTGAGATGTACTTGAGGGTCTTATAAAATCCTAGACCTAGATCAACAAAAAACTAAAAACCTGCAAAGGCTGCTGCATGTGTTTTTCACCAGCCCATTCATTCTCTTTCCAATCAGGACATCTTGGAATAAAAATGATCCTTCCTATATGAATAAGTATTCTGCTGTCTCCAGGAAAAAACCCATTTGCAATTAATAAAGTAAACATTGCAATTTTACAAATTTCCTTTCGTTTTCAGGCTTTTTCTAAGAGTGTAAGCTTGAAATTTGCCCTGCACTATGATCTCTTTGGCTGTATTTCTGCGGTGGCACCCGACCTATGGAATGCGCTCCCCAGAGAGGTCCGCCTGGCGCCGTCATTATTTGCTTTTCAGTGCCAGGCGAAGACCTTTTTATTTAAAAGTTATTTTAACTGTTAATTTATTATTATTGTATTTATAGATTTTAATGTATAGCCGAGATGGTACCAGTTTTTAAATTATTGATTGTATTTTTATGTTTATTTTATGGATATTGTGAGCCGCCCCAAGGCTTTGTTGCAATGGGGGCGGCATAGAAATGTTTTAAATAAATAATATTAGTTTATTGTCCTGTACAGGAAATATTAATGATGGTATAGGAGCTTTTTAGTATGCTTCAAATATATTCTTAGAGTAATTCTTATAACAGTCTAGTCATGTAGGTCAGTGTTATCACCATACTGAAGAAAGACTGAGGTGGTGGTACTAATACACAAATGCAGACAGAGAGAGAGACTTGCTGAAGCTATCTAGTGTGTTCATGGTTTGAACCAGGGTTTATTTATTTATTTATTATTTATCTATTAAAACATTTTTATGCCGCCCCATTCGCCGAAGCCTCGGGGCGGCTTACAACAAAAAATTTAAAATAACATTTTAAAATATATACAATAAAATACAAATATACACTATAAAACAAGCATCCCTGGCATCCCTGGAACAAGCATCCCTGGAACAAGTTTCCCTGGCATCCAGAGCCAATTACTGCACTTTTGTTCTTAGAAGCAGATACAACTGATTTCAGTGGTACTTAGGTGACTTTACATAGAATTGCAGACAGCTGTACAAGACCAGTTTAAATAATCCAAAAAAGCAATGTAAGGATTGATATAAATTAGACTGTGGAATTTAGGCATCAAACTCCTCCCCCCCATTTTCACATCTGAAATTACTTGAGTTACGTATAATTCTTATTCTTAGCTGCAGACCCCACAAATAGCTTGGTCAGCCACCACCACACTATTCCCTGCTGCCCAAAAATTTCTCTTAACTCCAGATAGCATGCAGAGCATTTTCCCCAACCACTGCTACCATGAAGAAAGTGATTTGTATCGAGATCTTTGGTGGAGTGTGTACATGTACGCATGTGTGCGTGATTGCCTTTCAATAGTTAAATATTGATGTGTACTTATTTTATAGTACACGCTATTCAACAACAACAAATTCTCAATAGATATATTCATTTTCGTAGTATAAGATAACTTGTAAGTATGGAGCAGGGCTTCCATATGTACTGGACTACAATCCCCATCATGTCAAGCCAGCACTGATTGTGCTGGCTAGAGGTGATTGTAGCTGTACCATGACACATTTGGAGGGCACTGCATGGTGGAAGACTTGTTCAAGGTGAGACAAAATAACTGCTCATTCAATACTCTAGTAAATTATTATTATTACTACTACTATTACTAGCTTCCATTACTGATCTGTTTGTATTTTCTCGTCCTCCAAGTTTCTTACTTGTTCATGTTTCAACTTCATAATAACATTGATGGCTGAGACAAAGCAACTATTCAAGGTCACATACTAAGAAATTTGCAAAAGAGAATAGCAAATGGTCTGTTGTGAGTGTGCATGCATACAAAATAAACTGTAACGGGAGGAAATTTCCAGAAATGGAAGACAAAATTTGAGACACTAATGGAGGAAGCCTTTGAAACCTATGAAATCATTGACTTCAAATGAGATTCATCGCAGGATTTCCCATATCCACATTATCACCCAATTAATTTAAAAGAAACACCACCAGGTTATAGGGTTACCCTTTGCTCCTGAGCTGTTCTTACAGTTTTTAAATCTTCCTCAACTGCTTTTTTGCCATTCTGCAGGCTGGGATGAACAAACAGGTATCATATCAGTACATGTAGGTCCCTCTACCCAAGACAAATAGAGCATCAAGGGCAGATAAATCTGGAAAATAGTGTGTAGGACAGGCCTGAATTTCTCTTCCACTACCTTCTTACCATTTATGTAACTGCTACACACAAATCCCTTGTCAAGTTTTAAGTGAGGTGTTCCAATCATGACAGAGTTGCACCCTTAAAGAGGTAGCAAATGGCAAGTTGTGGGATGACTTATACCTGGGGTATGCAACATGCTGCCCTCCCGCTTTCTATTTTCTAATCATTGGCCATGCTGGCTATGGTTTATGGGTAATCCAAAGTGTGGAGGCCATAGGTTGCCTACCCTGAATTATATATCATACCCAATATGGCTGCATTCATGTTATTATCAATAACAGATTATAACAGTCTAGTCATAAACAGTCAGTTGGGGGGGTTCAGGCCCCCCAGAAATGTGTCTGCGCTAGACAAGTGTGGGGAGAGGATCAGGGCTCTGGGAGCAGGGTTTTAGAGGTACTGCAGGGACTGACAGGACTCCTACAGAGAGGGGCCAGGTATCAGGGAGGATGGGAGGAAGGAGGAGGCTGGGAACTCCAAGGAAAGGAAGTGGTGGGAAGGAGTTGAGGTGCATGTACACCAGTGCTAGGAGCATGGGTAATAAGCAGGAAGACCTGGTGGGAATCACAGAAACTTGGTGGGATGAAAGGCAAGTCTGGAATGTGAACATAGAAGGGTATCACCTTTTTAGAAAGGACAGGAAGGGAAAGAGGGGTGGGGGCGTGGCTTTATACGTCAGGCAAGGGATAGGATGCAGTGAGATAGAATGCAGCACAGATGGGGATTCGGTAGAGGCAGTCTGAGTGAAACTTAGGGGTTTTGACAGGGAAGGAGACCTGACAGTGGGGGTGTGTTATCGCCCTATAGGTAAACTTGAGACCCTGGATGATGTCCTGACAGGCCAGATAATTGGTGGTTCTTTTACTATAAGAGCCTAAACAAATATACCTCATATATATGCTTCATATGTATTTAAACCTGCTATCTTATACAGCTTTCCTTACCTAGGAGAAGGTATTATTGAGTAGATTTAACTTCTGAAACCTACTAGACAGGATTGAACTTGATATTTCTGTGGCATCTCAATAGTAACAGGACTTTTAAACTGGTTTTGCTTGCTTATTTTTCTTGCTTGCTTGTTTGTTTTTTAACATCTGCCATTATTATCAGGCTTATTGACACAATAGAATCCTCTTGACCCTTTGATGTGTAGCAGTTCTTCAGGGCATGCTTGCTTGAAAGATTAAAAAGATTTATTCCAAAAGGAAAGTGAAGCAGGAACTCTTGCCTTTTGCAAATTCTGAAATGCCAGTAGGCCTGCATTATGATAAAGGGTTTGGTTGTTTCTGAAACCACTCACTTGTGTGTTATACTGCTGTGCTTTGGAAATTCAGAAACTGAACTATTCTATATAAAGCATACTAATTTTCAAGCTGGAAACAATTAAACTGGCTACTGTGCATAACTCGATTATTCTAAATATACTTTTAAGTATTCTTGCCGAAATATTAAATAATTTTCAGTCTGTGGTTTATTGTTTGTTGTATACAGTACAACATAAAGTATATATACTCAGTCTTTTGAGGAAACTGAATTATAGATAGTGTAAAGTGATTAATGAAATCTTATGTACTGAAATAACCAAGACATCTTTACCCTGTTCATTATATTCTCTTCCTTCTCTTTCAGTTGCTGATATGTGTTTAAGATGAGTGGGATTGGTGAAAATTCCTCTGACCCCACCCGGGCAGAGTCAAGAAAACGCAAGGAATGTCCCGATCAGCTTGGACCCAGGTTAGTTACAATGCTTTGGAGAATCCCGGAAGCTCATACATTCTGTAAGAATTTACATGCAAAAATACAGTGTGCAGGGGAATGAATTATTAAGTTGCCATTATTGCTGCACAAATATGTCTTTGCCTTGTTACATTGCTAAATCACAATACAGTGTCTTCTCTGACAGTTTTTTATTTTTATTTTTTTTGTGGCGGGGGAAGAAATGAAAAGAGGTTGAGTGAACATCCTCAGTTAAGTTTTTATTTGAAGGGTTTGGCCTTCCAATTACTATAAAATTTGTTAAGCTTTATCAATTTATTTTAAAAATGCCAAATGTTTGACTTCTACGTTCATTCTATCATCCAGTGATTTTTTAAATAAGTATTAATTTTCAAACACTTCTTAAAAGTTTTCTGACATCACTTGGGGAAAAAAAGAGAATTTTTCACCATTGAAGTGTTGGGTAATCTTTAGAAGCCGCATGATCAAAGTTGCATGTTTTCGCAGTGCAATACTTATGAGTCTATGTGGATACAGCTCTCATGTTCTTACTTGGTGGAACCATGTAAGTGTGTGGCTGCTGTCATGTATGGCTGCTAATTATCTTATCAGTTCAAAGAAAGGCTAGTTAAAGCAACCCCCTCATATGCTGGGTGGCTGCAGGAGTAGAATGTGAATACCTCTACACTATTGCTAAGGCAAGTAACAGTTTCAGTAGTGAGCTACTGGCTCAGGCCCTCAGCAAGAACATGGAAAATGGAATCCTGTAGAGACATCTTTAAAAGTAGTGAAATGAATCATGCAGGGAGCTCCACCCACAACTGCATTGGGTTTTGCACCCTGATTGCTGTGTGAGGAAACCTACATGTGTGCATCTATATGCCTAAAGGCCTTCTTGCTGTAGGTGTGGCTGCTTTGTGCTTGGGGACCTATGGCACAGATTTCATTATGACACGCTTTGCGGGAAGGTTGATTGGCCAAGCCCTGCTCCTGCTCACCAGAATAGACCTCATGAGAGTGCTTGTTCCGGAAGATGGGGACAGTTTTTGAGAGATTCAGAGAAGAAAGTCTTTTTGTGTGACTCACAGAAAGTCTCGGAGCTCTTGAATTCCTACAGCATTTCCTGTCCTCTCACAGGAAGGCAGGGCAGACAGATCTTAGCATCTTAAAAATCTTAGCAGCAAGAAGGAGAAATGTTCAAATCCTAAGGTCAGTGGGAATTTGTGCTGTGTATAAGATTTACAGGCCTCAGAGCATATGTGAGTAATAGTTCAGGCTTCTCTTTTCCAAAGTTCATAGGCACCTGGCAAAAACATTTTATAGGCATTTATACATACATACATACATACATACATACATACATACATACAGTAAAATAATGAATCATAGAAGAACTGACCATAAAATCAGCCAGTTTCTTGAAGGCATTTGTTATTTATGTTTAAGAAATGTTTCATGTTGTGAGCCGCCCTTCATGTTGTGAGCCACCCCGAGGCTTCGGCGAATGGGGCGGCATAGAAATTTTCTAACTAACTAACTAACTAACTAAATAAATAAATAAAATCAAAGATTCTGACTTGATCTTTTGGTGCTTGAGTCCTTTCATTCAATACAGTGCAGTGTGTATTCTGCCACAGAACCTGCCAGAAAAAGCTAAAATATGTGACCCGTATATACAGTATACAAATCAGGCAAATGTATATATGTTGCCTTTTGTTTGCATAATAATTGCTAGTCTAGAGGAATTTTAAAGACCCTTTTTGAGCACAGAGGACTCATCACCCAGCTAGAAGGAAACAAATTCAGCCTGGCCAAAACTTCTAAGGTTTTGGCCAGCAGCATATTCTGCGCACTTGAAGTTGCACACAGCCTCGATATCTAGAAATCATTTTTGTTTGTTTGTTTTTAAGCCCTTGTTAAGTTTCTCAGGATCACTTGTGGAAATGTAGAACTGCCTAAAAATGGAGTGATTTGCCATTGAAATGCAGACTTTGATATTGTGGCTTAAATGATTTCCAAATCCCACCTAACAGCATCTCATCCTTGCTACAAAATTATTTGAATGTACAGGTCAGAAGTAATTCATAAAGTAATAGCTTAACTGAATCAAAATGATTTTTTCTGCATTCTTTAGGCAGAAAGGTTTCCCCTTTTTGGGAGCATCGCAGGTAACATCAGTCATATCAGTGGACAGATAATGAAACCAAGAAAGATCTGTTTACAGTGATATTCAGTGTTGTTCTATGCATTAAGATCTTCTTATCAAATACCCTAGAAAACCACCATAAACTTAAGAGGTTAAACTTTGAGTGGTATGAGTGGGTGTTTGTTCATTTTTTTTCCATATTTACAGATTTGGAAATAAGTTGTAAATATAAAATATTTATATTAGAGAAATGAGTGTCATTTGGGGGTTACATTTTACATTTACACCACTTTTATTAAAAATTCCATTTTTCATTTTGACCTGTAGATTTCTTCAAAAGTTTCATTTTTAAATATTTCTTCCAGTCCTAAAAGAAGCACTGAAAAACGTAATCGCGAGCAAGAGAATAAGTACATAGAAGAGCTTGCAGAGCTGATTTTTGCTAATTTTAATGATATTGACAACTTCAACTTCAAACCTGACAAATGTGCAATCTTGAAAGAAACTGTGAAGCAGATTCGTCAAATAAAAGAACAAGGTAAAGAAAATGTTCCTAAATGCCTTAATGTTTGAACGTGCCTGTCCTCCTACTGCCACATAGAACTGAGATGCAGCTTCAGATTCCTTGGCATCCCATTCTATAAATTGATAGTATTATTTTGTTTACACTTTTAAAATTGGCATTTCATACTGTTAGACTGTTGATATCAGATTCAAACATTTAGAATGTAATGAGCTATTCTCTGCGTATTCTATTAAATGGACTTCTTTAGTATAGTTGCAGGGTTTTACAATTTAACCTAGTTTGGAAGATTCTGAAGTGTGGGATCTATAGTTGCTTTACAGTTCAGTATATACAAAAGTAAAAAAATATATATGTTTACTAAATATCCCTGAATGCCAAATTACAGCATTACATCTTGGGATACCTTAAGATTTATTGTGAGAATGTTTTGGTGAGTTAGATACTTTAAGTGGATAGGGCTGGGATTCTTTTCTGCAGAACCAAAATATATACAAAATAAGAACTGTGACCCCTTCACAATAACAACTGCTATGATAACATTATCTGTCTAGCTGTCTTGTGCTAACTGGTATTAATAGATAGTGTTATCACAGTGATAGTGTTTCACTGTGTTGAATGTGTTGTTCAGCTTACAAATGTCACCAGTTTACTATCTGTTGCACTTCAAGCTCTTTTGGCTTCAGCATTTCGGGGTTTTTTTCCTTTATCTAGCTCTATCATTACACATGCACACATGTTTGTGGGGCTTTGTATATGCATGTGCACAAGGATGTGTGTGTACCTATCTATCTCTAAATATAACATGCTTGCTAGCTCGTTGTTGTTGCTAGTCTCGAAGTCCTGTCCGACCCATCGCGACCCCATGGACAACATTCCTCCTGGCTTTCATGTCCTCCACCATCCCCCGGAGTCCACTTAAGCTCATGCACTGCTTTAGTGACTCCATCTAGCCACCTCATTGCTAGCTAGTACAGGTCCATAAAATACGTGCCATACTGCATGTATTTGTCAGTTCTGGCAAAATCAGAACATTTCTGGATTTGTTTAGTGTTCTTTGATCTAATAGCAGACAGAAAGCGATCTATGAAGTAAACTTTATGTGGAATAATTGAGTGAAATTTATGTTCTATAGTTCCTGCAAAAATGGGAGTTTACCAACCTGCGCTTGATAGACAAATAGCTAAAACTCTGTTAAGTCACTCTGTGCCTCAAGGACCTGTGTTGGAACTTGTGCTTTTTACTACATAAAATTCTGAAAAACAAGACTGGTGAGGTGGCAAAGTTTGCAGAAGTTAGAAGTCCAGAAGAATATCTTCAAACTAGGTGACATTCACTGGAAGTGCAGACTCATGGCAAGTTAGGACAGATGTATCATTTGTTCTACACTTGTGAACAATTGATTCAGAATTCTAGCCCTAGAAAGTGATTTCAAGATCTTGGCCTTATAGAAAATGTCAGCCCAGTGTGTTGTGACAAGAAAAATCCATGTTCAATATTTATTAGGAAAAGGCTTATGCTTGCAGGTCTGGGTGAGGAAGACACTGGTATAAGGTGTTGGGCATGAATTTCAAAAGGCTGACTTAAGTGAATACAAGTCTCCACCAATATTAGCCATTCCTTCACTTTCTTTTTCTTTTGCCTGGTCATAATACATTATTGAAATATATAAGGCCTACTGATGCATATATTACTGCATCTGTGTGTGTCCAGTGCAGGTTTCATGCTGCTTCTGAGGTGCTTGCTTCTGCAGTTCAGCCAGTAGATTTCACAAGCCATAACAGCTCAACAGGAACACATAATGTTACTGAAAATTTACTTGACAGTAGTAGGAGTTAACAGCTTGGTAGCATTATCATTGCACTGGGATGGTAGTCAATCTGCTAAATGCTATGTACTTTTAAAACAGGCCTTCCCCTCCCTCTCCTTTAGTAACAGTGTTGTGATCATGTAGAATAATAAGAATAATGTTTTTTTAAAATGGCTCCAGTTTGGCAACCAGTGAAGACTGCCTGGTTTACTGTATCTATGAATATTTAGGATATAGATTAGTTGCCTTTCCCCTATCCTGCAGGTTTATTCCATTCAATAATCTTATATCATTGTATTAAATGATTGATTTAAATAGGTATATCTGACTTTTCCCTCTAAAGCATGCAGTTTCTCATGAGGGCCATGCCAAATTTCAGCTTGAATTTCTTTTCAGAGAGCTTATGGCTATTAGGTAAGGAAAAAGAGAGGGAAGAGGGAAGCAACCTAGGGCAGGGGTCCTCAGACTTTTTGAATAGGGGGCCAGCTGAAAGGCTGCAGTGACTGTCACGGGCCAGTGAGGGGGGGGTGCCTGGGGGCAGGCCGGTGAGGTGCCATCGGGCATGCGCGAAGAGGCATCGGGCGCAGTGGCTCACTCGCTCAGAGATCTCCCAGTGAGTCCAAAACCATCTCCAAGTGAGCAAGCCACCACCACGCTGCCCGCGCTGCAAGGCAGCGGCGAGTGCACACATACAGGAGACAGGTGGCGGCGGCGGCTTGCTCACTCAGAGACCATCTCCAAGCGAGCAAGCCACCACCTCCCTACCCGCGCAGCAAGCGCGCATGAGTGGCGAACGGCGGCGCGGGCCGAATGGATGGCCAGGGCAGGCTGGATCCGTCCCGTGGGCCGTAGTTTAAGGACCCCTGACCTAGGGCTTCAATCATCTGCCTGAGAAAGCTTGGGGAGGGCAACATACCATAGCTTAAGTAAACCATAGAGTAGCATTACATGCGAATCAGGCCAGTATCTTGATTGTCCAAGGATGCACTTTGTATTCTTCACACTTTCCTTAGTCTCATGTGCTAAAACTTGTTTAATTAACCTGTTTTGATGAAAAGAACTTATTCAAGAAAATGTTAGTGATAGAGTGCCTTAGAGACAGGTGAGCTAAATTCTGTTAATGTCCTTTCAGCATTCTTAACCACCCCCACATTTTTTAGTATCTCAGTTCTGTCACCAGTACTTTGTCACTGAGTTGATCGGCTTGTTTTTCAGGGTAAGTTTAATGGTCCAGGAAGTAGAATGTATAAGGATCTCATCTTGTGGTCATGTGACATTGCATATTGTTTCTCCGATGCCCTGGTTGGGCTTTTGAACAGCATGATGTTCACTCTTACGTAGAGATAATGATGCTACTGTAAGGAAATTAGCTTGTGTCTTTTGGTGCCCATGTATTTTCTCTTCCTCCTCCTTTTCCTGCTTCTGGACCAATGCAACAACTGTCTCCCATCAGTTCCCAGGTTCCTCACCCAAATTCTGTATTGGTGTTTAGCTCCATAAAAGCACAATTGTGTGGCTGCTTGAGTAGCTGGACTGTTCTTTCATCTTCAAATGTAAAATAGGAAATGTTTGTGTGTGTGCTTTTCAGAGGAAGAAACTGGTATGCAGAGAACCAAGATGGCTTAGCAGTCCTAGTCTTTCTTGGAAACAGACATGTGAACCTTTCCTATTTAAAGACACCCAGTCACTTCTAAGAGCATTTGTATGACTAGGTGGAATCCTGAACATATTTAATCTGAAATACGTATTCTTGAGTTCATTGGGACTTACAGAAGTGTACTTAGGTGCTACAGAAGTAGAGAATGTAAGTCCATTTTTATCATTCTCTGCTCAATGAGTTGCTTGTCTCATTGAGACTTGTTTAATGTTTTAAACAAATTCTTTGGGGTTTTAGTGATGAAACAAGTAGACATTTTTTTAAAAAGAGAGAATGAAAACACTGCAACGTCTGTTTTAAATATGCAATTATGTGGTTTTATTTTTTTTTCTTTTCTGCTTTTTGTTTTAATTCTGAGTGATATATTTCAGAAAGAAATAAAACAAGAGTGACTTTGCTAAACATACTCCTAAAAAGTGTTACTGTAGCCATTTAGGTAGTTCAACAACAGACAGAAGAGCTTTAAAAGGCTTTCATCTTCTATTGCGTATCAAAGCTTTTGAGTTAAATGTCCAGTTAACTTGGTTTTATAAGCTGTTTTGCCTTGAGAGTTACTAATTTTCTGACATTATAAACCACATTTAGGCAATGCAAAAGACTAGTTTTTCATCTGTCACTGATAAAAGGAAATGCTGCTGTTTATTTATACAGTTAGTTTGGTAAGTGTGAAATTACATGTTGGTGGAGTTGTATAACTTGGAGATGAGTTGTCTTGTTGATTACTTGAACAGTTTTTGCTTTTTTTTAAAACTTTCACTGAAAGCAATCTCAGGATTTAGGGTAAATGTAACTTTGTTTCCACTTATGAGAGACTTGATGATTTAAATGTTTTAAAGGCCATGTGCAATCCTGTAGAAGCTATGTTATTTAACCATAATTCTTTGGTGCAACATATATGGATTTGTATACAAAGTTGCAATATTCTTATTGATGCCACATGTAAGAATACAGCCTAGTAATCATTCCACAGTCCGTAGGAACATTTAAAAGGTTACTACTGATCAGAGTGTATTGTTGCAACTGAAATTCAGCATGAGAAATATGTGGGAGGCAATTAGTTTAGTCATCAGCAGTGACTGGTGTTAAATAGCAAACAGTAGGTCGTATTCTGCTATGCAATCTTTCAGTTTGCATCACTGGTCAACAATTACTTTAAACTAATGGTCATGTTTTTGATACATGGAAAAACATCTCCAACAACCTAAATAAGATTAGGAGACTGGAAATATTGAACAGGGTATCGCTTCCTTTTTTTCAAACCATGGTTTTCAGTTCTGGTTTATAGGCACACTGTACTTTAAACAAATCAGAGTTTGCCTAATTGAGAATAACCTGAAAATCCAGAACAGAATTAGAATGGGGGGGGGGGCATTCAAACTTATTACTCTGCTCTGACAACCAGAACATAGTTGCCTTTGCCTATAGAACAATAGTAAGAAATTCCTTTGTATTGGGAGCTATCCTGAGAGTTGTATGAGAAACCAGATTAGAATTTTGGGAACAAAATGACTATTCTACTGCTACATCTGGATCGGTTGGGGCACGATT